CTTTACCAACGATGAACAAAGTCCTATTCCGCAACTCTCCATTCTTCTGCAACTATTTGGAACTCTTCCACAACTACTCTTCAGAAACTATTCTTCAGAAACTATTTTGCGATCTTCAGAAACTATTTCGCGATCTTCAGAAACTATTTCGCGATATTCAGATACTATTTGGCGATCTTCAGGAACCATTTCGCGATCTTCAGAAACTATTTCGCCATCTTCAGAAACTATTTCGCGATCTTCAGAAACTATTTCGTGAATCTTCAGAAATTACTTCGCGATTTTCAGAAACTTATTTGCATGCTTTAGAACGTATTCTTCTGTAACCAAATTGCATGAAGGAGCAGTGGGTGGGTGGGGGGTGGGGGGTGGGTGGGTTATTGACGTACCTTGCGACGGCTACGGTATATAGTATATACTAATATACATCATGCGTATTTTACGATTTGCAGAAGCTTTTTCGTGCAGGCTTGATGTCGCTCTTCAACTCTTCGTAGTTTCCAAACATTAGTTTTTCAAGAAAACCGTAGAGTTTCCGAAGATTAGTTTTGGAAGAATAGTTTCCGAAGAAAGCCTTAAAATTTCCGAAGATCACTTTCGAGTTGCCGAAGATTAGTTTCCACAGACAAGTTTCCGAAGAACACCGTAAAGTTTCCGAAGAACACCGCGTAGTTTCCGAAGAAAACCGTAAAGTTTCCGAAGATTAGTTTCCGAAGAAAACCGTGAAGTGTCCGAAGATCACCTTTTAGTTTCCGAATAAAACTTTTACCACCAACGATCATCATCCACTGTTAAATGGGATAGAATGATATACCCAAGATAGAGTTCATTCCCTGTGTTTGTTTGTTTTTTTGTCCAGACGGCAGGAGCTGGCACATCTTAGAACATGACGCCCGACCGTGCCAACACCACTGTCATGAGCAAGTACTGAAGCACACCGTGACCCGGGTGGCACGAGGACCGTGCGCGACGAGGGAAACGAAACTAGTTGGTGTCGTTCCCTGCCCGGTGGGTGGTTTGGTTTCCATTTTCAAAGAGGGTCCTGGATGGTTCTTGGAAACGCAAAAACACATATATATATATATATTAATAATCCCGAATTAAACAAAATCGACAAACACGATTTTGCAGTCTACTGAGAGGCATGCAGCATGTCTATGTCTATCCGAGACCAGCTCAGCTCGGGAAACTGCTCGGAGCTCTGGCACGGCTCCGGCACGACCGAGGTGGAGACACTTTGGGACTCAGGAATCCTCTCTTTGGGCAACTCAGATGCTTTGGCCCTCACAGCTTTGCAGGCCGGGCATATAAAGGGGCATATGGTGGCATATGGTCATCCCCATGAGTGATTTATGAGATCTCCAGTAAATGTCTCAAGTGTTCAAGCTGGGTTTGTTGTTTTGTGTTCCCGTTCAAGCTCTTTCTGAACCCACACGAACCGACATTGGTGCAAGATGTGGACACCGTGCCAAATCGAAAGGCAGGCACGGCAGGCACATGGGATCCAGCAACAATGGAGCTACTTCGAAAAGTTGACAGTTGGCATTTATCGCCTTTTCTGAAGGGCACGCAAAGGGGGTCTCGCATTCGACTTCTGCACTTCAGTGATGAGCGTGAGCATTTGGACATATGCATTTGCCCGCAGCTCCTATGTCATCCTGCTGTGTACTACATTTGGCAACCTTGTCTACTCACTCATGACTTAAACGCTGTGGCCCACAACTCCTATGTCACTAGCCCAGCAAATTCCTATGTCATCAACCCTGAGTATAAACACCTACACCTGCAGACTGTTTTTCGACTGTCCCGAAGAGTGGTAGAGTTGCTCCTCAGGGTGCGGTCTCCAGTTGCTTGACCAACCTGCCAGAGCAAGTGGCGGCGGAGTTGGCGGGTGAGGCAACGCGGCAGGGTGTTGTTGATCGGCGGAGGTGGCGGCGGTGCCGATTTGGAGGCCCGTGGCAGGCGGTATCAGCTGGCCGATTTGGAGGATGCAAGATTTTGGGCCTCTAAGATTGGGTGATCTTTTTGAGAAAAGGTAGACCGGCAGCCCGGAAAACGTGATCATAGGTGATTGGGAGGCCCTTTTCATCGTATAGGCCAAAATGGTTCCGAGCCAAAGGAGCAAGTAGAGCACACCAATTTTGCCATCGAATGACAGCGATGTATATATATATAATATACATACATCGATGTCCTCCCGTGTTTGAGAAGTTCAACAGAGGGTGTTCGAGTCGATTTCGACACGAAGAAAGCCGCCCTGGGCCGAAGTGGACGTTCCCGAGGCGCTGGTTCGCTTCCAACACCCGCGGGGCACCGGTGCAGCACAGCCTGCGGTCTCGCCTGCAGTCTCCGTGGCGCCGGTCCCGCCGGTCCCGGTGCCGCCGGTCCCGCCCGTCTGGCGCTGAGTTGGACGAAAGATCTGACGATTTCGTGATGTGCAAGAAGCAAATAGCTTCTTGTTACTACTAGTAAGGCACTTGTTACTACTAGTAAGTTCCTAGTAGCTTATTACCGGGCCAGTTCTCGCAAGGACACGCTGCGTGACACGCTGTAGATTTTGTTTCGATCACGTACTTGCTTGATACTTGCGGCCCGTTATGCACTTTGACTGCCGGGGCTGGAAGCAATGTAAGGGGAACCCACTCTTCTTGTGTTTGAGTGTAGAGAGCGAAGCAAACTTAGTTGGTGACCACCACGATCATGGCTAGATACCTTGCGTTGCTGCGGCCCAGAGAAACTCACCTGTGTCAACACAAGTCTTGCAACCCATCAAGATCATCAGGTGGTCAAAGAGACATAGGCAATCAGGGTCCCGTTCGCACGATCTTGGGCCACTTTCCACGTGACTTGAATGGAGGATAGAGGGATTGGTTGAGGGAAGGGCGAACATCTCCTCGCTCTCTCGACCCGATTCGACCCCTCGTGGACCACCTGGGATGTGGGGACCCGATGTGAGGCGGTCGAGGAGACACCAGGGCTCTATGGGGACTGTACCAGGCAGGGGACTATGTTCGCCGCAGTTCGAGGGCATCACTGATCGGTGTCAGTGTGGCGGCTGTAAGTAGGTGTCCCAATAACGGGGACGCCCGAAAACCTGCCCAAAGATCCGTGATCCATCAATGGAAGGATCATCATGGATCATCTATTTCTCAGCAAGTCATGCAGAGTCATTGGTGCCAGCACCCGTTGGTTCAGGCGGCAAACCTTAGAACAAGAAGGAAGAACATGGAAGAACCATGAATGCACCTAAGTTTGTCCGTCTTTACGACAGATTCAGGCAGCGGCGCTGCTCTGGCAAAGACGTGCGCTGCTATGCTGCTTGGATGATCATATGATATGATGTACATTGACGTACTCCAGTCCTCTCCAGTTCCACCAACACAGACCCAGTCTGACTAAGACTCCTCAGTGGCAGACCGGCCACGCTGGGAAAAAGAAGCCACGCTACTCACCACAGGACCGGGGACGTCTTTTTGCCGGTCCAAGGGTTCCCGTGGCGGTGCCAACGGGACTCCTGTTCAGTGCAGTCTGAGTCAGGAGTGTCTCAAGAACCTGGTATTGGATCATTGGTTGCTCCACGTTCGGTATCGGGTAGATTTGTGGTTGCCTGAGCCGGTTTCTCAACCACTAGGATCACTAATTAGGCTTTGACCACCCGCTGATCGCAGTTGTCAATCTCGTCATGTGCACATGCTGCCACGAAGCAAGCTGAGGCGCAAAACCAATTCTTTGCACAGATTCTTGGACTGCGCTTAGGGGGATCTCCAACAAGGTGGAGTATGAATGACGGCTGTTTCTTTTTTTATCGATTTGATGATGTTTAGATGGAGTTTTGATCCAGTTTTTCTGTCCATGGTCTGGAACCGGCCTTGTCTTGGTCCCAATTTCTGTTTCAGCCGATCAAATTATTGTACATCAAAATCAAGTTTTAGAGGCTTGCTTGGGGGTTTAAGCTTAGCATCTAGGCCTTGACCCCAGATGCACTTGAGCCCTAACATGCAATCCCAACATTTTGCCTAATCCTGGAAAGGTACCAAACCTCAGAATCTCAAAGCTTTGCCGCGGAAACTGTCCAGCGTGTCCAGCTCCCCGTGCGATCCCTTGTAAACCGACCCGTTCTTTCACAGTCGCTTCAACCACCACATGTCGAAACATTGGGCGGATGAGGTGTTTTCGGCGTTGGTCACTGGCTCACGCAAACTGTGGCCCAGAAACACTGTGGTCACAGTCCATGAAAGACTTTGTCTTAGAAACCAAGACTTGTTCAAGAGCAGTTAGGTAGGATGAGCCTTCCATGCTGGACTGTTGGACTGTTTTGAAAGGAACTGGTCGTTGTAGGGGAGCTTGGAAAACCACAGACTGAGCATGCATCAGCCGAGGTGCTTGCGTCACTGTCCTGAGCACTGGGATTGCTCTGATGCAGCTCCCATCCATTCGTAGAAAGAAGGAAGCCATCAGCACACATCATGAGAACGACATGGATGTATTTATCTGCACCAGGTATCCCCAGATTACATAAGACTCTCCCGGAAAGGCTTATTCGTGCATATCTTCATGCCAAAGAGGTGCTGGTTATGCTGATGTGACTGATGTGCTGCCATCACTTGAAAACCGAGCATGGTCGGCAAAGAAAAGTGCGACATTTGTGAACACATCGTTGGTCTTGGCGCCAAAACTTCTCGTCTGCAAAATGGCCGTCTTTCGACGATCCTAAAGGCTTTCGGTCTAGTTCAAAGGGACACCCACCCAAAACCGGAAGTTAGGAGTCTTCGAGGTGACTCTCAGATGAGAGGTTTTGCCTGGTTGAGTTGTAAGGCACATTTGCCTCCCAGAATTTCAACCCGACCCTCTGTGTCAACCCAAGGTGATGCATGACATATGGCTACTAGGAACAAGGACGCGACTAGGGGCTCCTGGCCTTACTACTAGGAGCAAGTAGCTACTAGTAACAAGAAGCTAATGCATGACATATGGATTTGACACTTTTTTGAGTGGGCCAGGAGGTGTGCAGCTCGCAGCGAGCTTGAATGGCAGATGGGGGAGACTGATTCGTTCAAGAGGTCCGTGGGAAGGGTGCATTTCCCCAGTGAATCCTGTCTTGGTGTAGCATTTGGGACAACATGGTGAATTTATTGTCTCATACTAAAGCTCCTTAATTAAGTGGCTTGATGATTCAACACTTGAAGTCATTTCAAAGCCAAGATTCACTTTGCTATGTTTAGCTTAGGGGTCGCAAGATGTCTACCAAACCTCCAAATATTTCCATTTACAGAGTTAGAGGTCCTGAATTCTAGATTTTGGTGACGCTTGCTCCCATCAGCCACATTCATGAACAATTACACTGTGATTTTACACTCTGTAGACTACTTTGGAGCCACATGAACAATTGGCCGGTCTATGTGCAGCCCCCTTGCCATCCTGCAATCCAGACTTCGAAAAACATCGCAGCGTCCCAGAGCAGCAGATCGGCTGCCATCACCATCAACAATTTGTGGCAGACCAAGGCCGGGGCAGCTTTCTGCAGGCAAGGTGAGCTTTGAGTGAGGTACAATCGGAGCTATTCCATGCTATCCCAATAGCCACAACATCCCGCCACATCCAGAATTGAAATTGTCACCTTTGTTGTATTGACATAGCTAAAGGACCTCCCAGGATACTCAGCCTCACCGAATGGAACACGGAACACGAACCTTTGATCACTCAGAGTGAAATTTATTGCCACAGAGTCGAAGACCCTTGCCGAAGTCCACTGAAGTGTTCTTTTCAAAGCGTAGAGACAGTCCCACTAGTCCCGTAACTTCCACAGCCCGAGCACAGTAAGTTCGTCAGTTCGGAGCTGTGCTTCGGACTGTGCACGGCACGTGTGCCGTGCATCCGCCGTGCGTTCCGGTTTGTGTCAGGTCACCTCACCAGCAAGACATCGGGCGAGGAGGATCTGTCTGCCCAAAGAAGGGGATCCTCCAGCAACGTGTTTGTGGGATCCTTCTAAAGTCAATTGACTTCTAAAGGTGTTTCATTTTGTTTGTATGCGAGAAAAAGCACCCTCCTCGTGCTCAGGGACTTCGTCTTGGGACAGCACCCCCTTGAGAAAGGATTCCAACTTGAACAGCTTCACCACAAAACCATACAAAACCCAGGTTTCTGGAAAAGATGGTTTTGTCCATGAATCTTGTATTTCTCACATGAGTTCATTCTCAGGTCAGATGTGCGATGAGATCTGGGGGCAAGTCTCGGAGTTGAGTGACCGTTCGAAATCCCAGCAGGAGCTCGTGGCAAAGATTCGGGAAGTGAGGAGCCTAGTGGCCTAGTTACCTCGTGGCAGAGAAGCAAATCTCTTCTTGTCGCATGTCAGAACCACTTCGTGAGCTCGCAGCGCTTGGAACCAGAGCTCCCTACTCCGTAGCTTTGAATCTGCGAGTTGTTTCATGATAAGCCGGATTGACCGAGATGCCATTGCCCACGGGCCCGCCGGAAGCATTTGGGGCACGCTTTCGATGCACTTGTTGCCACTGGGTTGCAGAAATCTGGCTGTGGGCGACTTTCGATTGGACCCCTCTGACCTCGAGCCGGTTGATGTGGACAAAAGCCATCATAAAACGGTCATGAGTCATGAGTCGGGTACATCTTGCATGGCCGACTTTTGGACGATGGATGATGGCATGCAGGATGAATGATGGCATTTCGAAGTGTTGAACACCATTGTGAGCAACTACTTTTCGTGAACAGCTCTTGGCTGAATCTTGCAATGCCATCCAAATGGATAAAGTCTGTTTCCTTATCGCTTCACAGTCTCTCAGCATGATCAGGTCAGCAGGAAGTCTTTGAGTCGCAGTTGGAGTATCACGCCTCATGGCGCAGTTGGAGTGGCTGTGGGCGTTCTGGGGGTCTGGATGTGACTTGAAGCTCAGCAGGGGAACTAATCCTTAAAGTTCAAGATCGTAGCACTTGGTCTTTTCCGTAAACCAATTTACACCCGTTTCAAGATCGAATCCCCTTCTCTCTTGCGCTTTTGCACCATACGACAACTTCTTAGCGGCACCAGTGGTGGAGTGCAGTCAGATCTGCTGAACTTCTCATTCTCAAACACCCGATAGGTCTGCGAGCAGTTGCCTTTACCCTTATACCGACCTGTATTTCAAGGAGACGAGGACTTATAAGCACCTGCTGTACAGGTAATTGGTGGATCTTGAGGCCTCCTACTGCTTGCCGCCTGCGCGTGCGCCCCCGACTCTACCACGTATTGCGGAGAGGAGGCCAGGGATGCATCACGCAGGTCAGTTTCACGCCCGGTTGAGAATAGGCCACCTGGCAGTTGTAGCCAGCATTTTTTCGATTGAAGAACGGAAAGGAGTGCAGGTTTTGGTACCTTCTTCCAACAAACTCAAGTGGATGTTGATGACATACATAGATCTGTGGTTGAAGCTTATATTCCTCTATCAAATAATCTCCTCACGCGGATGGTCTGCCGGGGGGCCTTGCTTACTTTGGTTGATTTTTGCTGTGCGAGATGCTTGAGCCTCATGCTATCTGAAGGTTCATCCGTTCATCTAATCCCACCCCGATCTGGGAATCCTCGTCATTCTTGCTGGAGCAAGTACACGACTTCACCAAAACGGGTGCTGGGGCCTGGGGAGCCCTCAGTTCTGGTAGCGATTGGTCGCTGTGGGATCCCTCTCCAGCGCCGTGCGACACACGACCGCTGTCTGCTGCAGGGAGAGTGACAGTCGTGGACGTCGCAGCTCCGAGGTGGCAGTGAACGCGTCGATGAACGCGCAACGAATAGCGCGGCTTAGGATGTTTGGCCAAGGTGGAAGGCGTGAGTAGTTACTGTAGGAAAGATATCACATCATGACATGATGATTTTGTGCAAAAGCTTCATGGCTTAGTGAAGCGCTCACTCAGGTGCTGCAAACCATTTTTGGTAAACCCTTACATGCGGGACTCAATTGGGTTAGAATGTAGAATATCCTCGAGAACATACTTGAAGTTACGTTGGCTGTCAGTAGCCAGCTACTGCGTGCAATGAAGGTATCATTAATGACCCAGACGCAAAGCCGAGGGCCTCACAGGTTGCATTGGGATTTGGAAGGAAAACTGGAGCGACTTTTCTGCATCTCCACAGAGGGCCGAATGTTACTTTGATCAATTTATATAAATGGTTTCAAATGTCCAAGTCCATATTGATTTTAGTTATATATATATATTATTATTGTTATTTTTTATATATATGTAGGTATGCTGCTGCAGGACACAAGACAAAGCTCGGTTGCGAGCCAAGCTCGGTTGAGAGTTCACGTTTGATAGTACTTGGCCCGTTCGTGTCCGGTGCCTCGAAGTAAAGACCACGTCTCAAGCATTGGAAATGCCAGACATGTCTGACGACTGGAATGAATCCCACAGTTGCACCCAATTTTGGGACCGGTTTCGCTTCGAAAAGCTGCCAAGATGAAGCCGCTTCCGCCAGCTCTTGGTAGCTAACCAGAGTCCCCAAACACCCCTGCGGATGGTTCTTCCCCTTATCTCTTTTACTACCTGGTAGTGGCCGATAAATTCCGCTCAGATTGCGGTTGCAAGATTGATTTGCTTGTTTTGGTTGATCTGTTTGCGGATTGCAATATTTATCTGTTTGTGTTGATCTGTTTGTGGCCGCAATAGTGATCTGTCTCTGCTTGCAATATTGATCTGTCTACGTTGCAATATTGATCTGTTTGTGGCTGCAATATTGATCTGTCTCTGGTTGCAATTTTGATCTGTCCGTGTTACAATATTGATTTGTCTGTGGTTGCAATGATTTGTCTGTGGTTGCAATATTAATATTGATGTGTTTGAACATGTAGAAGAGATATGTACTCAAACGTGATGTCTATAGAGGACATATGTGGATGCCTGTACCAGGGCCTCACCAGCATTTTGAGAATAGTTTATCATCGCCCATTGGCCAGGACCTGACACACAGAGGTTTGCAGCCCACGCCCTCGTTTCTTGGATGCGAAAGGATATTATGATGTGAACGATGCAGAGAACTCTCGTGAAGTCAAAGACGAGTTGCAACAAGTTGCAACATCAAAGAATTTGGTGAAGAGAACTCTGGTGAAGTCAAGACGAGTTTGCCAAGAGGAGTTGCAACATCTAAGATGGGGTGTCTCAAATTTTGGGTCCCAAGCACTGAACTCCAAGCTTTGAGGCGGACTGAACCACTTTATCTTCTTTCGTGTCTCTTCTTGAGTTTTCTTCTAAGTGCTACTCCGACGTCAAACTCTCCAGGTGGGAAACTCAAATTCACCTGGCCTGGGGAGCCCAGCAGGGAAAGGGACAGGGCGACCAGCAGGGAGGCGACAGGTCGACAGGATCACACGGGACGACTCCGTGCAAAGGCAAAGTGTCGTGGTTCTACTGGGGACGACTCCGGGCTAATCTGGCAGGGGCTAATCTGCCAGGTGATGTGAGCCACATAATCACAATGATTTCAAAGGCTTCAAGGCTGCGAGGCTGTTGGCTGGATTCCTATCTGGTTACAGTAGCATCGAAGCAAAAGTCGTGTTCACAAGCCATGAAGCATCTCACAAGCGCTGGTTTGGGGGTTAGTTTCAACTGCTGACAAAAGGGAACTCCACTCCACATGTTTGGTTCGTCATACAAGCATAGAGACCTAATAACTCATTTCCATAATCTCATTAGCCCTGCCATCCCCACCAGCCCACTACTGTACTTACTAGCCCTACCAGAGCGAAGAATGACGATCGTGAAAAACATTGCATTTGTGTTTGTCTTGAGCAAGTTATGTGCGAGAGCCAAGAGTTGATGGGGTGATCTACTAGTGTTGACCGTTGACCGAAGTGGTGAGTACCCAACTGTTGCAGTGAGATGTGGAGCAACGAGCAGCCATTACAGTGCGAAAGGCAATGTAACTTCTAGGTCACAGTAGCCCTAGTGGAGGCATGGCAGCGTAGATTCAACATTTGCTTCCCCCATGCGCTTGGATGCCTTGAACACGTGGTGACGTTGCTGGAACACGAGCGCACCCGGGACTTGCAGCGGTAACTGCATGTAACTGGCATGGGCGCGGTGTACACATGATGATTCCCAATGAAAATAGCATGTTGCGCGAACCGTCGGAGTTTTAGAGGTGTAAGAACTGTAGTTTTAACATGAGCTCCGTGATGAAAGTGCGAATTACGGGCGGTTTACTGTACAGGATAGTCACATTGGTCCTTCATTCGGAAACAGGCAACCCCCAAGGTCTGTCCGCACGATTCACCGAGCGTATGAACAGCCTGAAGAAGCTGGTCGGCATGATGCCTTGATAAGTGATAAGTGCTTCTTATGGTGGGCCTTGTAAGGTCCATTGCCCGTGGTTCAACATTCAACACCAAGGGTTCCACACGTGCTTGTCATTGTTTTAGTCACAAACTATCCAATTTTGGCGTACCTATATATCTGACCCCAAAGGGTGGTCAGCCAGCTGCGCTATGGAAATGAACGCAAGGCGGAGCAGTCGGCATAGTTTGTGGGTTCTGTGCCTCAGCCCTACTGTGGTCATGCAGAGTTCATAAGCACGGCTTTGTATTCCCAAATTTCTCCAATATCCCAAAGCCGTGCTGGGAAGATGCGCTGGCACTGTGCGATCCCAGATCACTTAACTTGTTCCTGCTCAAGAAGTACCCACCGTGCTCACAAACTGGTGGTCCCGAAGTTCGTGAATTGTTCAGAAAAAGTATATCCAAGTGGCACAGTCTTCCACTTGCAGTGAGGAAAGTCTTTTGCTTGCTGAACGGACACCGACCGCGTGGCACACGGATATATGCACATTGCTCTACCCAGCGTTCAGATCGTATCCCAGTACCCATGGTTGACCAGGCAAGCATACGATGAGTTGGTGGCAGCATGTCGCCATGCTCTCGGCAGTGTGGGACTCTGATATGGATATTCAGGTCAGAAGGTGTCCAGGAAGCAATCACGCTGACGCATTGTTCACAGAAACTGACAAGCTCAAGGTGAAACAAAACCTGCAGAAGTGCACAACTGTCACGGGGGATGTCAAAATCGGCAGCATTGCTCTCAAGTTCGTCATGCAGAACAAAGTATCTATCGACCTTGTGCTTGTGAATCCACGGCCGGAGGAGTTTCCGAGGCTTCGTGGAGGGGACAATTTTTATGTGAATTCGGAGCGCATCAACACGTTTTTGGAAGAAACGCATGCAGCCAGACTTGCCATTGTTTCAGTCAAAAACTTCTTTGGATCAAGACGACCGAAAGGACTACTGCTCGAGGCCATTGTCTGGCGCCTTTCAAAGACTTATCCGCTTTGGCTGACGGAGGATTCTGCTTGGCCCGCTTGGCCAACTAGGCAGAAAGCTGGAGAAAAGATTGATCTCTTTAAGGAGCTCAAGTTCGGACAGCTATCCGTGGAATGCTTTTTGTTTTTTTCGCTATGTTGTGTCAGCGCTGGATAATTGGGAGGAGTCACCTTTCGGAAAGGATTTAAGACAAGATCTAGACAAGCTACCAGAGAGGATGCAGACCTATACTCGAGGACGAGCTCCGAGCTCCGGCGGGGTCCATGCTTTGGGGATTGGACGTTTAGTTGAATGAAGAAATACATGAGGCAAGAAGAAGTTGTCCAGGCACGCCTTTCCACTTCTACCTTGAAAGACGGTTTCAAGAGTTCTTCTTCCCTTTTGATTTATTTGGGCTCAGCAACAATGCTTGAGCTCTAGAAGACTGGCGATGCCCGTCCTCAAAACAACTGCAACCATTTCGTGGCCGGTCATCTTGGTTTGGGGGTTGGTTCTTTTTGGGGAGGGTCATCCTTATATATCCGTCTTTAAATGTCTTTACAAAATTTTACAAACATCAATGGAATCAATTGTGACCAACTTCGATTCAGTGTATAATTTGTTGTTGAGAACATAGACCAGACAATTCGTTCAGGAATTTATCCCTTCTGATCCAGACCCACTCCGTGCATTTAACCGGTTCTGATAATTTCTGGTGCTATTGCCCAACAAAGTTCAAATCCAATAGATACTCTTATCCTCCCCATCTACTGGGTGGTTACTTTTCGGGGATGCGAGGTTGCGATTCTCGTGATGCGTCGGGGGGATCCCAAACGAAGTGTGCGCTACGAAAGAGAGTTTCGTGGCGGCTGAGGCGAAAGAGATGCTCTTTGGACCAGAGGTCGCCAGCGTCTTTGCTGCGGGCAGAGAGTCTGGCCACTTTTGGTTATATAGCCTATAGCTCTGTTAAGAGTGTTTATGAATTGTCACCCCAAAACTCCTGTGGCCACGGACAGATCTGGACACACACTGGCGAGCACTTTGCGCCGTAGTTTCGAGTAGAGCCCGGACTTTCCCTAGAATTTCATATGCAGGGACTTGTAAAGGTGGGACAGTCAATTTTCACACCAGCCCACCACGAAGCCTTTGTCGATTAAAACCCCGTGTGAGACGGAGAAACGAACAACACCTTATACACGAATCGGTCTGATTAACGCGATGTGGCTGATCTGATCGAGTCCTAGCAAAACAGGTGGGTAAAGAGCATAGAATCTCTTTGCCTCATTTGGCCTCTCTTTCAATGCGGATAACATGTTTGGAAAGCCTTTTCCGGAGAATGCTCGGTGAGCTGAGCTTTGAGCTGGCGCTCGCTCCACCGCTGTGGGAGTCTGAAAGACCCGAACTGCCCGAGCTCGTGGCGAGCCCAGCGCCCCTGGTGCAGGAGAGCCCAGCGCCCCTGGGGAAGCGTTGGTGGCGCTGGGAGGCCCGTCATTGCTGGGCTGGCGCTGGGCTGGTGGATGGAAGAACTCCGAAGATTTCCTGCAGCACCGGGGGCACCATATGGATATTGATGGGATCACAGAATCATTTATCTCCCCACGAAATGTATTTCTATATATATATATAGGGTTTGGTACCATCCCAGGTGGGGAAGAGGATTGTCTTCCACCGCCAGGGAAGCGACCACCGGTGGAGGGTGGAGTCGCGTGAAGAAGTGACGAGTGCCCCCGGACCCACGTGGCAGCCAGGACAGCGAAATTCAAGTCCACCATGCGAAGGCGCGTGGATCATGCATGCTGGATGGAGATGAGCTCTGGGCGCCCTGAAAGCATTACAACAGATATCAAAAGATCATGGGAGGTTAACAACCCTCCCTATAAAGTTGTTTCACGAATGTCTTGGACTCTAGGGCCGGGGGCGCTTATTTGCCAACAGTCAACATTACTTCTTAAACTGCCGATCATGAGGCCTTCTTTGCACCCAGTGCGGCAGGCAGAAGAGCGCTCTGCGCGAAAGCCTGGCACCGAGATTATTGGCGGGGCTCCTCCGTGGCTCAAGATGGGGCGGGCTCCCAGATGGCTGTGCCAGGAACCCACTCTTTGGGACGGAAAGCCCCCATTTGGGATCCATTTGGGGTTGGCCTCAGCCTCTCCAAAGCAAGACATATCTTGAAGAAAATAAGGTTCCCGCTCCGAAGGACACGTTCATAACCTCCAATGCTGAGGCGGCAAGAGATCTTGGAGGAAAAGAAGCGGCAGGAGGAAAGTCCTCGGTTTGCGCAAAGGGAAAAGTGATGAACAGTACACTCCGAGCGGGGAGGACAAAAGCACCACCCAGGTAGATAGAGGAGCAAGTCCCCCTCGCCAAAAGTATTGGGCACCATTTCTATCTACTTTGAGAACGAGATTCGGCGTCAGTCCATGTTTTCGGTGCCCGAAACCGCCGTCGCTTTTTTCGTTGCACCGAAAACAGGAGGAGCACTGCACCTTCACACCACGGCTCGTCGCGCGAAGGCAGCTCGGCTGGTGCGAAATTTTGGTCGCATGGAAGAGGTTTTAGCAAGACGACATTGATCATCATTGAGCTAGAATGTACAACTCTAATCAATTCTATACTGTAACATTCATTATTAATTCAATTCATGGAATATTTATTATTCCATGAATAGAAATAATAATGCATGTATATGAATGTTAATGATTCATGCCTTCTTTATTTGCATGATTTGCAGCGTGTTGGTTGAGTCCTTCCGTTTTTCGCTTAAGGCCAGCAGTTTGTACTGCAGAACCGCCAAAAGACTCGCTGCAGGTCGCGGAGCTGTGGCCGTATGGAGACTCAGGAGCACCAGCGACAGCCGAGGATTGTATCCTTTCCTGGCCTGGTTTCGTGTCCTGGTTTCGTCCCCGAGATCCAATAAAGGAGCTCATAAGTATGGGGTAAGAAATGGTACGAAGAACATCGACATGTAGACCTGGTAGGCCAAGATATGTTCTTAGTACATCTTCGTACCACTTTCCAAGAATATGGTAGGTCCCCGACCGAGGATCCTAGAGGTGATGTTCTTCCCACCAGATAGGACATGACAATTGGTCAATCAAAAACACATCCTGAAAAACCAAGAGATCCTCCGAGACTCTGCCGGATCCACCGTCACGCAGGAGATCTCCCCGAGAAGCGGTCGATGGCAGGCCGAAACGACCGGGCTGGGTAGGTAGCAGAAAAACAAAACTCAGGCGAAACAGACAACGGATTCTATGAGGACCTACAACTACAGCTGATGATGGATATGGAACCGATTTGCGGATCTTCAGACTATTGTCCTTTCTTCATATTTCTTCTGGGACTTGACACTGCTGGTGGGTGGGGGATACCGCCAAAACTCCACATCCTCTTCCATGTCGAAGATCGAACGTAACGCCAAGGTATGTAGCATCGGACCGGTTGTTTGACGATCGTTGGACTCCGATGGGTTGAAATTGATTGAACTTGCCCAAACCCTTCAAGGAATGCCACTGTTACGCCGAAGGACTGGCTCGATCAACAGCTGGAAAGCAAGAAAAGCAAGCTTGAGTCTGTGGAATCAGAGATGCTCGGGGCCCCGAGAAAGAGAGAGAGAGAGAGAGAGCGCGCGTAAGGGAGGGAGGGAGGGAGGGAGGGGAGGGAGGGAGGGAGGGAGGGAGGAGGGAGGGAGGGAGAACATGGGTTAATGGACTCACCTAGAACTTCTCTCCTCTTGAAGTTTGTGGCATAAGCTAGCTGCTGTGTCTAGTGGCCCTTTGGATCACCAGGCTCAGTTTTCCTCAGCAAAACACATATGGAAACTAGTCAGGCCCTGCCCCTTGGCAGCAGGCAGGCAACATGTTTTGCAATGTTGTAATCATTCATCCCATCATAGCACTTGACATGTGTTTTTCCCGCAACCAGAGACACGCCAGGGCTCCACTTTTGGGGTAGTCCAGAGAGAGCTATGTTTTCTTGCAGCGCAAACATTCTCATCAGAGGTGGGTCAACCCAGTCCAAGGTCCAATGCTTTGAGGGACCAAACACCCTAAGCTCGCGCGTGGGTTTCCGATTTTTGACATGCCGATTCCCACGAAACAGATGTCCACCGATGTCCACACCGAGGTACCAAGATGTCACGCACCATCCCTCCATCACCCGCCTGGCTCAGACGGTGGGGCAAGCGCGGGAGGCGGGTAGTGAGAAGGAGGCTGACATGGGTGGAGAGAGCAGTGAGAACACTGGGGCGCGTGGTTTAGATCGAATAGAAACCATTGCCAAAGCGCCACTCATTGTTCCAAGCATATTATTTCTATAACTTCTCTGGGGTCACTCACGTCAATTAGTACGGTATTCCCTTCGAAAGACGAGCTCATCATGAGAACCTGCGCCCACTTCATCCCTTCATCCTTTGGTCCCTGTCTCTCCTTTGGTCCCAGCATGGCGCTTTCTTGTGCATCTGACCATCCCTGACCACAGCTCCACGGATCGGTCGACCGGTTGTGGGTCCGACGGTCGACCGGTGCAGGAAGCCGATGCCCTCAATGTGTTCGAGCGCTTGTACCAAGTGGCGAGAGTGGGGAGCACCCAGAGTTTTCACTTCGGCCTCTGCGATCGCTTTTTCTTTTTACTGTAATGTTTCTATTCTTTTTTTCTGGAAGGAAGGCAGTTACTTCGAAGAAGGGGAATGCAGGAAAGTATCCATAGGATAATTTTGTAATCTTATGAAAGTCTTCAGAAGTGAGATGAACTGGCATGATTGCGGCATGATGCTTGATTTTGAGTCGAGTCCACGAACGAAACAAAGATGTGACGGGGGACATAGTTACATCATGTGACCTTCTTCTCGCTAAGAGGTTTTCCTCAGGTAGTCGAGCCGGGGTGAACCTCTGAGCCACGACTCCCCTTCAGACTTCTTGGTGTGCAAGGGTGGCCCAGCTGGCCCGGCCGGTGGCCCAACTGGAGAAGCCACTTCGACCTTCTTCTCGTGTGAAATCCATCTCTCTCTATCTCTCTCTCTCTCTCTCTCGCTGAGAAGCGTGCCAGGACCGCTCGAGAGCAAGGAAACTGGCAGAGGCTGCGGACGATAGAATTTCAGCAAACTCCATGCTGCAAGGGGGAAAGGGATCTGGAAATGACATCCAGACACATGTCGGAACAGATTTTGAAGATGTCAGCCCACGCTCTATCCGAATCCACTCCAGGACTGCGCAGTCACGTAAAAAAGCTGCCTAAAAAGAAAGAGATGCAGAGGAGTCACAACACGTTCTTTGCATAGGAACTCCTTTGGCCCGGGAAATTGGAGAGACTTGTACTAGTACTTGTACAGTATCCACTCAAAAGGTTTAAGTGGGTGTGTTTCAGCACCGAGGTCACTGCCATAGTAGAGTTTTTGGGGTTGAATTTTGTCGGCCAAATGCAGGGTGTCTCGACTGACTGGGAATCCCTTAGTGGAGGCTCTAAGTTTTAGTATTTCCGAGTTTTTGATTGAACATCATTGCCCTGGGAAGACTTTCAAACATTGCCAACCTGCTTAGGCGTCGGCCAATGCGGAGGCGTCGGCCGACTCAGGGCGACACGGAAGGACGTGACCACAAAGAGAGATGTCGTGGTGTCAAAGCCCTTGTTGGAAGAGGATGGCTGACTTATGCAAGCTTATGTATATAACTAATAACCATATAATATATAAATATGGGCTCCCCATAGAATACATATATATATACACATTGTATAGTATGTAGTCCCAACGATCTCTCTGACTCTCTCTATATAGATATTATAACTAACATATATATATATATATATGACAACGTTGGTTCGTGCGAAATGCAACCTAATTCATCCGGTTGGCGCGCGTATTCATGGTTTTCTTTCTCCTTTGGGCCACTACGACTTGTTGGGACTGAACAGAGTTTTGTCAGTAGGACTTGCCCAGTGAACCAGAGGTGTTTACCACCCGATGATATTTTGTGTCAAGGTCAACAATCATGCTGATTGCTCCCAATTCGTGAGCCAACACCAGAATCACCCAGAAGTGGCCATTACCAGTGCGGTCTTAAAATGAGCTTCGCAAGGCACTTCACGTGCCCAAACAATGAGATGTCTTCTGATTGTTGCTTTTGTAATGCGAGGGCACCCCAAGCACAAGCAAACAGCTGGCCGTGAGGCATGAGAGATACCATGAGACACCCTAATTTGATGCAGTGACTCAGAAAGCTCTTTCGCATTTGGCCCTTTTTGGCATCCAAGAGGGCCTGTTCTCCCTCCCTCCATCCCTCCCTCTGCACTAAGGACTCCGCCACCCTCCAAGGAGCCATGGTCCCCCCTTAGGGTGGACGACCAGTGACGACAAGTGACGACTGCGAAGAAGTTACGGGCGATGTTTGGCTCCAACATTCAGGAATATTCGGAAGAAGCAAAACCAAAGGAATGAGGAAACAAATAGAAAAGAAGACCTCTTTATCATTGCAGTTGTGCTTGAGCGAAACAAAAAACCTGGGCTGGGCTTTTTCAGGGCGCAACATCGTGGCTGGTGACCACTATCGATGTGTGTTTTCCTTGAACGTTCCAATTGAATGATAGATGAGGATGAAGGTACACAGGTTGGCTTCAGGGGCACAAGGTGAAGACATGCATGTAAAGATATACCCTCCCTAAACACCACATGGACACTGGACCCGGATTTAGAGCAACTTCCTTCTGTGTTTAGAACACCACAAAAACACAGACAAAGCGTGTGCAAACATGCTACTCAAGTCGCTCCCATGGTGGCTCAAATGGTGTTCTAAGAGCGGAGGAAGGGCTACATCGGGCCCGGACTTTTGCAGTTGCAACACACCATGACATCAGTGGGTATGGCTCAAGATTTAACCCGACTGAAGGGCTTTTTGGGTATTATGACATCAGTGGAGTATGGCTCAAGCCCCACCCCACTTTGAGTATCTCAGACGCAGTTGGTGAAGGATGAAGAAAGCCACGCACGAACGGAGACACATGAGTTCTTGGAGCACCATGACAACTATGGCTCTCTTTGTTCTGTGAGAAGCCCAAAGTGTCAGTATCTAAAACTGTTTGGTTTGAAGGAAGATTGGTGAGATGGTTTTGGGTCAGCTGCTTGTTGGTTAATAACGCTTAGTCACTTTTGAACAGGGAGACATCTCAGAGTTGACCAATGTGGTTTGGGGTTCGGTACATCTCCCACCTGGTGTCCGATGCTCTGCCGCTCGGCGAAAGGATCGGTTCCCAAAGCGACTTCCTGACTTTGGGTGCGATTTCAGCAGCTGACTTCGGAGTAGAAGCGAAACAAACAATTACTGTACACCAAACAATTGTTGGGTGAACCTTGGCCTCTTTGACCCCTTGGGACTTTGCTTCCGGATGTCTCCACCGTCCAGCGCGTTCACGTCCGAACATGGATCGACCCAGAGGGACCCTCGCCAGGCCGGCGGAACGGGTGCCGGTTTCTGGGTGGAACGGGGCAGAAAGGGCACCCAGAGCATCTTTGTATTTTTTGGTTTCTGGTTACTTCTGACATGGATTGGTGACATGGAAGGTCAACCACTGGTTGAACACGGCAGAGGTTGAACAGAGCTCGACAGGTGGGTCAAAGCAATTTTTACACTATGGAAGGTCTTTGAAGGGCACTGAGGATTTGAATGTTCCACTTCAGTCCTTTGCACTTGAACGACCACGCAATCGTATTGGCAATCGTATTGGCTCTGATGGCTACACGACCACAGGCACAGAACGAAACAGATGAGACATCATTGGATGGAATCAGACATGCTCTTGACGCCTTGGCCAGAGGAAGCAAGGCCGACAGAGCATGACATCTACCTGCGGTGCACGAGCGACTGTGTCGGGAGGCACAAAGCGAATGCGAAAACACCCAGCAAGACAGAGATAGCTGGATGTCCATGACTGGGGCATGTGACTCAAAGACCTCCCCCTGAATGGATGATAGAAAGTCACGACACGCCTTGGACGCGTTGGTGTTGGACACCTCCATAACCTTCAGCTTTTCTCCCCGACAAGATGAGAGCCACGCCCATGCAAGCCATGTCAGAGGGCGGCAACCGTCGCATGCGGCTGAACGTCGTGGCATACTTGAGCAATGAGGCCCCAGCACACGGGATATTTACGTAGTGTCTCTGCTTCCAGTGCTGATGGAAGGGCGCCCAACCCAGTGATCTTGGTCGATGTTGATTTTTTTTGGTTTCTTCAACAGCTGGGCACGTCGGTCATGACTTGCAATACTACCTGGATGCCCCAAATGGTGCACAAATTTTTCATGTTCTGGGACTGAAGGGGTCGGAGACCAGTTGGAGTATTTGCACTGGTGGCAGTTTTTTCTGAGCGGTTTATGTGGAAGGAGCCAAATAGGTTTCTGGCTGGTTGTGACCGGGGAGTCAACAAGAGAACGACCTTGGGGATGCTTCTTTGGCGTGGTCAGCTTTGAGCCATCTACTTCCCCCGTGGCTGTTGAGCTGAAAGTTTGAGTGCAAAGAGCCTTCTCCCTTTTGTTGCCTTTGGCATTTGCTTTCTGGTGCCAAAAGGTCACAATTGAGCTACAAGGAAAAGGCTTCAGGTCAGGATTTAGATGAACTCTGAAGATGGACTCCAGTTGTACTTTGCACAATTCCTTGAAAGGCAACCTCCTGCTGAACACATGGTGATATCTCAATTATAATAGGTGTGTATATATATATATGGTTATATATATAATATATCTTTATTATATCTCAGTTATATCTTATATATATATATATCTATTATTATAAGAGGCCAGGCATGTGTATATCTTTGACGTGATTTCTCCGGAGGCAGAGGGGGATGGTCCTTTCATGCCTTTGGGGAGTGACAGGCCAGAAATGGATGGAAACCCTGCCAACTCACCGGGCCTGCGGAACAGTTCGTGAAACAGCCCGCGGCCACCTCCTTTTCTGTTTCCAATTCCATTTCCTTCGTTGCCTCCAAACTTGCTCTGACTAATCAGGTGGCGGCCAGATTCTTGATCGTGGTGGATGAAGATGCCGGAATCGAGGCCTTATACACCAAGGCGCAGACGGCGCTGCACGTGGCGCGCGGTGTCCGCACGGTTCGCGCGGCGAAGCCTGGCAGGTGCAGCAGAAACTGCAGAGGAATGGTGTGCAAGGGACCATCGCGGAAGTGAGAAATAGCTTTCAGGCGCGACTCTAGGAGCTCTTGATATTGAAAGTGCAGTTTTGGCACGAGGTGGACAAGTCTAGGAAGTGAAAGGCATCTGAAAGGCTGTGCTGTAGGCTGTAGGTTCTGATAATCTGATAAGGAATGAGGTGTGGCCAAAGTATTTTTTGCCGAGCAACCGATAAATCATCACACCAACCAGATCGGACAACGCTTCCATTCTTGGGGTATGGAACTTTCAATTGAGCACAGCTTCAAGTGGTGAATTTTACGACTCGGCACTGTGACTCGAAACCGATGTATGTGAGGCTTTAGTCCCCGTGGAGGAGGCCTTGGGGGATATTTTTCGAGACGGAGAGGAAGTGGTTGTGATGATCAGAGGTGAGGATGGAGAGCTTCTTCAGGAGCGAGGGCGCGCAGGGCCCAGCTTGGATCTTCTCTGCTTAGCACAAGAAGTAACCACCGCTTCAACCACAGTTTTTCTGCGGAGATCAATGCTTGAGACACCAACATTCGGACCAACCATTCCCCTTGGCTGAAAGCCTTTCCACAGATGCCCCTATCGTGTGGAAATGACTCAACTGTTCACCAGAAGAGGTCTGATGCGATGGGTGTCAGCCACTGTTCCGCTTCATCCGGCACTCCCATCTCCCACTCCCATCTCTCACCAGGACCGAAACCGGGAGGCATCCTTTGGCCTCCCCTTTGGCCGAAACCGGGGCGCACCATGTCCGAGGCCTTTCCGAGGGTGGGTCCTGGCTGACCCTGGAGTGGCCTTCCCCCCGTGTAGGTGGGTATCGGTATTATATGTATTTATAACATCGTGAAATGCGTTTCTTTTATATATATATATAATTTACACATATACAGTATGTGTTACATACACATATTATATATAATTACACACTAACATGGTTTCACAGGAACTGGCTCCTTGAAACCTTTTCCCTTTGTAGAACATACACAAAGTGGTAGCTGTGGTAACTAGTTCGCCTCCACACTCAACCAGTGGCATAGGTGCAGTGTTTTGTCGCTCCCAGATACGGTGAAGCGGTGCCGATGGCGGGGCAATTTGCGGTTCCTGTGGGGCAACCTGCTGCTCCTGCGGTTCCTCATCAAATATCAATGGGCAGGAGTGACAGGCTTCGGTCAGGTTGACGTTGGCTTCGGTCAGGTTGACGTTGGGTGCCCCATACCCGTTGACCGTGGGAATGGATTGAGTGACAACAGCCAAGGGCGCTTCATGAGATTTGTAGGGCAAGTCGCCGCAAGTCGCTGTATGTGAAGCTCAAAGAAGCCTTTGAAGTTCATGAAAAACCGTATGGCAGCCCTTGCTTCCACGGAGGGGGTTTCCATGCTGATGACACATCTCCTAGCCAAGTATTCAGAACGGCTCAATTTGCTCGGCAGGAGCTTCCAGCACCAGCCCGAGACCTCGAGTGTTTATTATTCTGCGCCCCCCAACCTCGAGTGACTTGGAAGAAAGAAATGGAGCGCGCAACAGCAACAGTCCAGCGAAGGATGTTTACCCTATTGGTTTTGCACGTGTTCAGCTACGACATTGTACGTTTTTTTTTTTTTTTTAAACGTTTTTCTCCGAGAAACTCGGGATGATTCTTGGAAGCGTATCTCTCGAAGGGACGTCTCCGGAATGTTTCGCGTGTGATCGTGGATGGATCTGCCGGGAGTTGGTGAAAACTTCATTTCGCAGGGTCTGGTGTCCGATCCGTTTTGAGAGGTAGGACGACCGCTGACTACAGTAGATGACCTGCCTCTTCGCAGGATTGGAGTACTGTAGAACTTCAACATGGGCGTGCTGACGGTCTGCTAGTCACGTCATCACATGATCCATCTCAATGTATATATACTGTATATATAACGGGTGGGAAAATGTACCTGCATCCCAGGCTGTACACAGGTCTTCCCAAACACCTGAGCCAAGACTATGTGGTGATAAACCCAGTGAAGTGACGCAGCTCAGGCCGAGCTCTTTTGATGGCCCAGAGCCACCCAGGCGCCTTTTTTGGGTACTCTGCACAAATGGATTACAGGATAGACAACCAAAATAGTAGGCAACATGTTTAAGCCCACCAAAGTATGGATTTGCATGGATTTGCCCTTCTCCACTAATCCATATTTTCCAGCCTCTTCACCGCGTTCAGGGTCCAATGTCTTTTGTTA